AGAGAGAGAGAGAGAGAGAGAGAGAAACACACAGGGGTCTATTCGGGTAGTTACACAGGGATGGGGTGGCAATAGGGTACAAGTAAAATAGGGGTGAAAACCAGGGAACTATTTAAGCTAATCCGGGCGATCTCACCAGACAGTACAGCGCTATAGTACTTAGTGTGGCTTCTTATTGCCTTTTTCCACTTGGGAGTCTGAAATGTGTTTGGAAGGATATTTTTGCATTCAAAACTTGTTATACGTCTGCTTGCCCCAATAGGTCTGCGGTTTTCTAGGGACTGCGTGGGTGTCATATCTGTGTTGGGCTGTAACAGGCAATTCTAAATTACCGGAAATAGAAAGAAAAAAAATAGATGGTGATTCTAAATTTGTACAGATAACATAGACACTTCCTGCTCGGTCCATGAATTAGCATAGAAAACCACAGTCTAAACAGTAAGGCCTCAGAGCCAAGCGCACACAACACATGCAATCACGTCACCTACAATGAGAACTCAAATCACAAGGAAAGGTATAAATGAACAAAATGGCACTAAACACGCCCTTAGACCACCGACTGCCAGTATCTGAACTGGCTGCGATTTCTGTTTGACTGTGAAACACAGCCAAGTATCAGCAAGCTTCTGTGAAATGCCCTTTGAAGAAAGCCCTTGTGATTTGTGCAAGTCTATAAATAGAGCTAATCACTAAAGTACTAAAGTGAACATTGTTATATATAAATCACATTGCAACAGGAAGGGCTCCAATTTAAAGCATTGTACCTCCTAGTTTTTAATGTCCCAAAAAAGGCTTTCATTGTTTGTAGACTGAAACACTAGTTAGAAAATGTCAATGACTCCAAGAGACACTGTATCTTACATTCTATAATTAGTTTACAATTATGGTATTTTTTACATTCTCCTGTTATGAATACCTGATGTGAATTCTGTTCATTGTAAGTCCTAAATCTCCTCTTAACTTCCCTTTGGTCCCAGAGAGGCAAAAGAGATTTTGCTTTGTTAGATGACTTGTCAGTGTAGCTACAGCAGAAGAGGCCCTTCTACAGAGCCATAGTCTTGCACATTTCAGAGACATCTAGAAATCAATAATGACTCTAAACCAGGAAACAGTGGTCATTTTGACCAGTTGAGATAGTAAATAAAAATGAATTCAGTAAAATACACTGAGAACAAAAATTAAAGAAGTATATTAACATCACACAGACTAAAGGGCTTAGTTCTTTCCTAATTTAAAGGTGGTGATAAATGCCCACAGCTGATAAATTTGTGCAAGTTTGACTTGCACTACTTGTACCCTGAAAGAAAATAGGAACAATAGTTCTTGCCTTACAAACTTCGAGGGCGACCTCAGTGTCACACGATTCACATGAAATCAATCACACCTTCACTTAAATTACACATGAACACATTTGTCAAATATTGGTATAGGTGGGTTATGTACATTAGACCTTTAAGGTCTACTGAAACTACAATTAAGAATGTATGTCTACATAATTTTCCCCCTCCTTATAAATCATAAAAATGTAAGTACAGTACCTTCCTTATTTTGAATGTATATAGTTCAGTTATAAGTAAAATTGTAAAATATTAAGGTAACAGATATGCATAGACTACATTTTCATGTGTGATGTATATTGGTAAATTCTTATTATAAAAGTTGTGTAATGTCAACTGTATTTAAAATTGTGTTATCTGTTTCTCTAAAATAAAAAGTTTTTTTAAAAAAAAGAAATCAATCACACCTAAATTTTCATCTCCTTTGTTAGTCACTTGTTCAATATCCCAGGAGCTCAACATCCATACTGAAGAGACACCTTATTCTACAGGTGACAGTGCAAACTCCCCTCTGTTATCAGCATTTCTGGGGGTTGTGCAAACACGGTGGTTTCACTTCTATGAAAGGGAGGATCAAAGGTTGTCCTGCTATTTTCCTGTCAGATCCACACTGACCTTCTCGAATGACTTATATTCTGTGCCTTGCAAAAAAACCTTGTAATAGAAGTTATGACAGAAATAAAATAAATACTCTTGTAGAACACAACAAACACACTGCCTGAATATTTGCAAGTATGCATCTTACTCTATTACTCTACATTAATTGCTCCTAAGGCGACACAAAACTGCAATAATGCAGGGAAGGCTAAAACACATGCAGGCTGGAAAAATGCTGAGGTCAAGGAATTGTACTAGAATACCGTGTCCAGTTTTGGACACTATTTTGTCCAAAGAGATGAAAAGGTGTTGTTGTTCCTGAGAGAGTTTAAAGGAAATGCAGCACAAGAATTCCTGATTGAAGGGGGAAGGAGTATAAACAAGCTGGTATTTTCACATGTGCTTTGGTTTTGAACTATCCAAAAAATAAACTTGATCCTTTAGTCGGGAGCTGTGAAGCAGTTGCTAGGACACTTTGGAACTGTAACTTTCAGATAGCCAGAGGCACAGAACATTTAAAACAAAAATCAGAAAGCTTCTCCTTAATGCCTCCCTTGGGCACTTGCTGTTCTTTTCTGAAACAACAGCAGTCTGTCTCTGATTGAACACAAAATAGGCAATATGCGCTGTGAGAGACTTCATGTCCAGCATGGCCGCACAGGGTGAAGAGAAGCCTACTGGGAGCAGGGGTGACAGCTGGTCAGCAGGAGCCAGTGCCTCACCCTGTGACTGAACAACAAAACCAGGAAGGACCAAGCAGACTGGCTTTGGAGATGTGGTAGGAGACCCTGGTTCAAATCAGTCCCACTTCTGTTAGTTTATGATGGAATTCCTGAATTGTAATTTTTCAGTTCTGTTGTGTTCCCCACTAAGTTAACTAAAATACCCTTTTCACTATGCCTTTGGTACACTATCACCATGCCTACTGTATCACAACACTAGCCTTCTGCATATGTTTTAAATGTGATGGGGCTCCACAAGTACAGGACCTTGCTCCGAGTGCCAGCTGTACCCTGTGATCCAAGCCTGGTCTTGCTATTAGTCAAATGCACCGGTGTGCAATGATCCAAGAGGAACGGCGTTCAGCAGCCAGAGTTCCCTCAGCTTTCAGTGCAGCAGGTACTCCTGTCAGTCGCCTCTGAGAGAGACCCTGCAGAGCTAACAGCATGGCAAACGACTGGCACAGCTGGGTCTGCGTCCTCCGTCCAAATTAAACTTTAGTGGCGTCATTAAAGATTGCGTTTGGTGGGCTTGAAATAGATTTATTTTATAAATCATACGATAAAATGGCAAAGCATTGTATTATTGTAGTCAGGTGTGCTAAACCATTGCACTGACATGGTCAAGCCATGGGAAGGCAGAACTTTAAAGTTAGGAAAGAGTCCGCAGCTCCTTGCTGTAACACCTGGATGCTGACCCCGGAGCCACCAGGGGTGGGACCATTCAGTCAGTCACCACCAGGCCCAGAGCAGCGCCCTCTTGTGTCTGTCTTCACACCTGCAGCACCAGCACAAACTGGATCTCCCCTCCCACTGGCACAGGGGCAACGATTTCATTCACCACTCAAATCATGACAAAAACACCACGAATCACAAGACTGTCCGGGGGATTGTGTGTCTGTCAAGGACGGGATTCCATTCTCTGAAAAACACACTGGCCATTTCAAAGCGTGTTTTAATTGTCTCTCTCAGCCTGTCTGTAAATCAGTGACTTCAGAGTGTCATTAACTATGCTTGTCTTATTTTTTTAAAGAGCAAAGTGCCTTTTTACGACAGAACAGTAATCAACCACTTCAGAGCAGTACAAAGCAGCCATAAAAGAAAATTGAATATACTTTTCCATGTCTGAGTCAAGTTTGAATTAAGGGGCGTGTACGGGTGGGGTTTTGTGCATGAGTCTGGCTGACAGATGAGGCAGCTGGGTATGATAAGAGCTTGGCAGAAAATGTGAAGGGCGGAGAGATGGAGAGAAAGGTACTGTAGACAGGAAGATAGTGAGAAATAAAGACGAGGCAGCGAACACGGGACAGGGAGGAGAGAGGGAGAGAGGGAGAGATGAGAAAAAGGACAAGAAGATAGGGTATAAAAGAGAAGAGAGAGACAGGAGGAATGGGAAAGAGCTTGATTTTCCCAGAGAGGTGTTGCAACAATCAGGGCAATAAGGAATGCAGGAGGTCAGTCTGGCTAGGATGTGCTTTTTTCTTGCCAACATTCCTCGCTAAGTCCCTGGAACACCCGAGTGCTGAGACAGCTTTTGGTGTTGGTCTCCTATAGCAAGTGAACAAAGCGTGAAACAATACACAGCCAGCTGTTACCAACACTAACCAGACCCGTTCCAGCACCCTTTAGAACAGCACATCGCGTTGTGGTGGCAAAACCTCAGAGCCAAGAAGGGGCTGTTTTTGTGTTGGTTAAGAGGACTGAAGCTGCCCTCACTGACAACACGAATCACAGAGTAGTTCGAGTAGGGGGCTGCGTCAGCATGGGTAGGCTGCAAAGGAACAAGTAAAGGTTTATTCCCTGCTGGAAAGAGAAGAAAAGAGACACAATGTTTCAGCTGTGGAGCCTCCTTCGGGGGTGAGAAAGAGACTCTTACTCTTTCTCACACCAGAAGAAGGCTCCACAGCCGAAACATTCTGTCTCTTTTCTTCTCTTTCCAGCAGGGAATAAATATTTACTTGACTTGTTCCTTTGAGTCCCAGAGAGCCACATCAGTGCCAGGAAGACCCAGACCAAATGACAACAAACTGACCCTTAATGGCAAAGGAACTGTAGCGGGACTAGAATGGCATCAGGAAAGATTAGGTAGGCGTAATGCTTGTGCTCTGTTATTTAGTTCAGTGACACTTCAAACAAGAATCTACATTCTCTGCCAATCCACATGGGACCAGGCCAGTTGAGTGTAGCTACAGCAGGACGGAGCGCTTGAGATGTCAGGTGTTTCAGGAGGACCTAGGTCTCGAAGTGTGAGCTGAACTCACACCGGTGAATGGTGGAAGCAGCACTCTCAAGAGAGTTCAGACCTGCTGTGGTGACATGGGGGTCTGATAGTTGACTGGGGTGTTGACTGGCATCCTGGGAAGGCAGAGTGAAGCTGGGGACTGACTGAGGACCATCACATCACAAGCTCATGACTACAAGGACGCGTGCTTTCACCGTATTACTTTTGCACTGTTTTTGTCCTGTTTCTATACTTTTTTCTGTTTGTGTATCTGCACAGTTTTTGACAATTTTGCACTGGCACCACACTGTTGTTTATTGTTATTGTATTTCTGTCTATTGTCTTGTCTGCTGTTCTATATATATACTGCACCTGGGAGACTAATGAGAAACACTTTTCACTATACTATACTTACTTTTATACTATACTTTCACTTCACTATACTTATACTATATGCACCCGTGTAAGTATAATAATAACTATAATAATTGCTTTCACTTATATAGCGCTTTTCTGGACACTCCACTCAAAGCGCTTTACAGGTAATGGGGATCCCCTCCACCACCACCAGTGTGCAGCCCCACCTGGATGAT